GGGCACAGCTCTGAGGTCTTGACCGAGTCCCCTGCTTGGCACCTGCATGGGCACATGTGGTCATGAGGCCTGCGTGAGATGCTCTAAGTGCAGGGCGAGGAGCATGTTCCAAACCCACCTAAGTTCCACCTTTCCACCTGTCCTTCTGGTACCAGGAACAGCACCCACTGTCCCCCACAGGGTGTTTCTCTTTACAGAGTTGGGGCAACCTGGAGCCCTCTGTGGCCCCACCCGTGAGAGGCCTGCGGTCTGCTGCAAGAGGACAGGCCCACATCCCACAGCGGTGGCTCCCCACCTAGGCCAATGTGATGGCTCACCAGCACCTCCAGCAGGCAGACAGGAACCCCAGCCCCTTGGAAAGGGAAATCTTTTCTGTCCTCAGCACTCCTGCAGGAGGGGCTCCAGCCTCAAGGCCTCAGAGGTGTATTTGTTCACAGAGCGCACGTGGTCCCAGGCACTGCCCGCTCCCCAAGCTCAACCCCGCCAAGGGAGAGAAGAGCCCAGGGGATGTCTCTTCTTTCCAGCAGGAGGAGGCCAGGAACAAAATGATGTCTCTTGTCATTTAAGAAACACTTTGTCATACAGAGTGAAGTAAGTCAATGAGAGAAAAATAAATGTCATATTAATGCATACATATGGAATCTAGAAAAACAGTACAGATGAACCTATTTGCAGGGCAGGAATAGAGACGCAGATGGAGAGAACAGACATGTAGACGTTGTGGGGGGCGGGGGATGAATTGGGATTGACATATACATACACTACTGCGTGTAAGACAGCTAGCTAGGGGGAAGCGCTGTGTGGCGCAGGGAGCTTGGCTCTGTGCTCTGTGATGATCTGGGGCGGGGGGGATGGGGGGGGTGAGCCAAGAGGGAGAGGAGAGGCAGCTGATTCACTTCCTTGTATAGCAGAAACACAGCACTGTAAAGTAACTATACCCCAGACAATGAAAAAAAACAAAAACATTTTGCCTCTTGCATCTTTTCTAAAGGACTTGTAAGTTGCTTGAGGGGATGTTTGGGTGCTTGGGGCTGTGTGTGGGAGGCCTGTATGGCTTGGGATCAGAAAGCTGTGTCAGGTAGGGGAGTGGCCCCCTCTTTTATCAATATGAATCAGAAACGCTGAGACAGGTAGAAGGTCTCAGGCTGGGTGAAATGACGCAGAAATGGGGAATTGCAGGGTCCTGCACAGAACCACAGGGAAGAGAGTGCAAGACAAACAAGTGTGCAGTCGTCCTTTGGGTACCATTTCATAGAACATCTACCAGACAGGGTGCTAAATACTATATGCAAGACCTCACCTGACCCCATTAGAGACAAACAAAAACCCTTCCAAGCTCCTAAAGCTAATGCAAGTGCTTTCAAGGGTGAGGACAGTGCGGGAGGGGAGGTGAAGCCTCGGAACATCACACACCTAATAAATGAAAGACCCACGATTTGAAACACAGTCTTTATGTCTTCATTTACTTCCTAGAAGAAGTAATTCACTTTCTGGAAAAGAAGCAATAAGAGACAGATGCAGAAGGAGAGAGCTCCCCCCCCCCCCCCCGCCAAATCATTATTTGTATACATTTCAAAATTGGCTCAAACATACAGAAATGTTGCAAGAACAAAGAACATTTTTTCCCTCTGAACTACTTGAGTGTAAACTGACACAATGTCCTATGGCTCCGACACATTTTAATGTGTCTTCACTGCAAATAAGGACATTCTCCTATTTAAAATAAAACCGCTGACATCAGAAAATTACCATTGATTTCTTATTCCCATTTAAAAACTTTAGATCCCATGCAATGAAGTTCTGCAAACTGTCCCAACACTTTTTTTTTTAAATATAACATCTAATCCAGAATCAGGTGTTACATTAAGTTGTTGTGTTCCCTCAAGTCTGGAATTAAACCTAATTTTAATATAAGGTAGGATAAAGAAAAATCAAGCCTTTGGAGGTCACTGGCTCTGAGTGGAGAGGCCTATGGTAAGTGGGCTGTTGCCTTGAATGTCTGGCCACAAAAAGCCAGAGGGGCAGCCTCTGGAGCTTCTCCCTCGTGGTCCAGAGCATACTGGGGACAACCAGTCATGATTTCCAGTGTAGGCCTTTTACTCAGCACTAGATAACCCCAGAGCAGATTTTTAAACCTTTTAACAAGGACCATCCCAGTGACTGACTGGCATACACAGGCAGCAATGCTTCTGGAAAATGGATTTCATCCATTGCCTACCAACGTTAGTCTTTTGTTTATTTTATGTTATGATGATATTTAATAATCAGTAATACAGCCGATCTTTATTGAGAAGATACTCTTTGTCAGGCACTGTGCTAAATACTTTCATTTAATCATCCCATTCTTCCAACAATATGAGGTATGTATTATTATTAATCCTATCTTATGAATGAGGACACTGAGGCATGGAGAAATTAGATGAAGCTGTCCAAAATCACACAGATGGTAAGGCCTCCAGAGTTCACATACCTCATCACCTCATATACATGCATGAACACTTTCGTTTAATTCTTAATGAAACAAAATGAGCTTCAACCTTCCAAAATCTGATTCTTCCCTCTCTAAAAGAAGCACTGAAAAAGTGGCTTTCAATTTAACCGAGAGTGTGCATGTGTGCTAAGTTACTTTAGTCGTGTCTGACTCTTTGCGACCCATGGACTATATAGCCCAGCAGGCTCCTCTGTCCACAGGATTCACCAGGCAAGAATACTGGAGTGGATTGCCTTTTCCTCTTCCAGGGAATCTTTCCAGAAATTGAACCCCCATCTCTTTAAGTCTCCTGCATTGGCAGATGGCTTCTTTACCACTAGTGCCACCTGGGAAGCCCTTAATTGAGAGGCTATGACCTGAGTCTACCTCAGGAGAACGTGAAGCCTGTACCCCTCCTCCCCAACACACAGAGGTCAGGCCAGGCAAGATCATAAAGTGTGGGTAAAATATTTACTTTGAAAATTCATTTGGTGCTTAGATGATTAACAGGAATTACAAGTCAGTATCTTTTACTTTATCATTTTACTTATTTTCTAAGCTCTGGTAAACTTTGGTTTATCAGATATAATTTCATACATGTGGACTTCTGAAACATGAAGTAACATTGTAAAATAAGGCTAACAGAAACACTGGGTGTGTTATTCTTGATTCTAGTAGCATGATTTACCTAGTACTTGCTTAAGTGCTTCAGTATCTTATAGAACATCTCCTGTATGCAAGGTACTTCAGAGTCCTGAGACCCAGCTCCTAACATTAGATTTCTAGAAGGCCTCTCCACACAGCTGCCAAAAAGGACTTTCTGTATGCAGCCTTCTGCCAATGGCTTATACATCTACTGGCGCCTTTCTGGGGCTGAGAGCACTATTTGCCTGGAGCTTGGCTCCTCCCCTCTGAGACGTCATTTGCTCTGATGTCGAAGTCAGGCCAAAGGATCATATCTCATTCGACATTCACCACTGGGTTGGCAGCATATCAGAGCTGAATCTTTCATCAGAGGGCTTTAGGTTTTGAGAAGGACAACATCCCCTTGTCCTTACAAAGTAACACCATGAGGGATTTCCTCCAGGAGAAAAAATGGAATGTTTCTATCTATCATCAACCATCTCCGCAGTCAGTGGGATTTACTGGCTAAGTAAATCCTAAGGTCCCAGGATTGAATCAATTTAGGGAAGGAAGCAATATTGTTAGCAAGCTCTAGATCAGAGAACAAGCTTCTTTATTGGAACTCAAGGTGTCCGGAGAGGGTGAATTCACATAATTTAATGGGTTTCTTTTTTTTTTTTGGGTTCATTAGTAAAACAATTTCTTTCCAACTAACTGGAGAACTCATTTATGATGATCCTCTATTCAGCAATTTAAAGATGCCCTTTCAAAATTTACTTCCTGGAAGATTTTCAGAAGAAAAGAATCATTAATGTAGCTAACAGTCTGTCTTCAAGGTCTTTATAGCACTTGGCTCATTGCTGGTCTGCAGTGGAGTTTGACTGAAAAAAAATCACAGAATGGGCAGTTGCCTGTGGCAGGCAAGAGGTTCATGGGGGCAGCTCAGTGTCACCCCATGCTGGCTCTGGAGAACGGAAACCTGCAGGGAGCGCCCATCCAGGACTTACTGGTTGGCTGTGGAGGAAGGTATAGTTGGGATCCTTCAGTAACGCTTATTAGCTCTTAGTTACCAGAGGAACGTCTGACGAGCTTTATTCGCTCATTACTGTGGCACGTCAGGAAGTCACTCGCCTCAGGGAAGGAGACAGACAGTGCGTCCCCTGCCACTGGCTCTGCTGGGCTTGTGCACCAGCAGCCAGACAGAAGGCTGACTTGGTGGTCTGAGACACGCTGCAAGGTAGTAAGAGGCAGGGTGTGCAGGCTGTCCTGCTATCCAGTCTGATTTTGGTGATTTCAGCCAAGATCTGTGCAAAGTTAGTTGGGCTGACCTTCAGCTTCTGTCCTTAAAAGAGACCCAGGTCCACTGCCAAGCTCCACTGCTTGTCACTTCCTGGATGAGTGTCTTCTTCTCATAATTTCATATGCTTCACATGTCTGACTATGCACTTGACATTCACTGGTCCTTTACATTTTCTAGTAGTTCTTTCACAATTTTCTCTGCGGTCAGGGCGGGGGGGAGAGGTGCTATTCTACATTGTAAATTAAAATCAAAAATTTAGATTTCCTTTTGTGCAATGATCTTGCCTATCAAAATTAAGTTGATGGTGCCACTGGGCATTTCGTGCACACATGAAAGACTTTGTTTAGATCACTGTGTTCCCTGAGTCTTGGGAATGTGTTGTTAATTCTAGGGAATATTGGTCAGCTGTGTTTGTTGCAGTCTGTAGCATGGGGAGCTGGGAACTGAGTTTTTTAAGCCAAGAGGGTCTCACTTTTTTTCCTCTTCTAACATCAAATATTAAGATTAGACATTTACCCATTAAGTATACTACTTACTACTAAGAGGCATTATACCTACCGCCTCTACATACTATAGCTAATCGGTGTTTGCACCTTGTGTCAGTATTTACATTTTGGACAGATCATCCTTTAGCCAGTCAGCTACCATGTCGGCCACTTCCCGGAAAAAATTGAGGATAAACTCATGAGGTATTTTTTTCTCACAGAGTCGAATATCTGCTTCTGGAAAATCTTTCTTTATGTCGTCATAGTACTCTTTTGGACACCAACCGTCTGTAGTACCATAGTAAAATATAAGCTAGAAGACAAGACAAAAACACTTTATTAGATTTCCCCTCCCAGCATGGATCTGACCCAAGCAATCTACGACGCTTTGAAAGCAGCCCCTGCAGCTGGCCCTGTACTCTAGTCCCAGAGCTTGCTGCGGAGAGTGGCTCTCTCAAGGCAGTGAGCCTTCATGGTTTATGGGAGTGAATCTTGGCATCTGATGTTAAGAAACCCATGTAGGGAGAGTCCTGTGTGATACATTGCCCATGATCCACTGACAGGATTCGCCAGCAAAGTAGTATACGTTGTGGTTGGGATGGACACTGGAAAGTGTGCCAAGAGGGGCAAGGAAGAGTTATTGAGACATACATGATCACTGAGTGACTTACAACCACTCATTACGAATAAAAGTTTTCATACAGCCATATGCTAGGCACATGGGACATGTTTGTTGAATGTACACAAAGATGAATCAGATGGACTCAGGTTTCTCAGTGTAGCAGATGAAATGTGATCAGAACCCTGAGGGTGTCTGTGACATTTCTACAAACAGGCTCCATGGAGCAGGGAGAGAATGCTGATTTGGGGGGAGGCGTTATAATCATCCTTTAGGTGACAGCAAGCAGGTGGGATGGAGAGAGAGCTTCCTTTGAGGAAGCATTTCTAGGATGCTTATTGAATATTGGATCTGCCCCAGCCTCTGATAGACAAACACACACCCATCCATGTATGCACACATATTTATGTGTGCAGTCGCAGCCGACTCTTTGCGACCCCATGGACCTTAGTCCACCAGGCTCCTCTGTCCATGGAATTTTCCAGGCCAGAATACTGCAGTGGCTTGCCATTTCCTTCTCCAACACATATGCATACACACACACATATGTGTATATAGGCACACATATGTGCATATGTTTATGGGCACTTGATCATATATACACCCATAAATATATATGTGTGTATGTATATGTATATTCACATATACATCTATAAGTATATATATACACATACACCTTTATCTCAACATCTAGCCCTAAGCTGCTGTTCTTCATCAAAAAACTATATTCTACTTCTGCATTTTTTGGGGAAAAAAAAGGCAACAAAAGTGAAATCTTATTCAGAAAGGTACATATAGGTAATTTCTGCGCACACACACACACACACACACACACACACACAAACCCTAATTTTTTGGCCCCTCTGACATCTGTCATCACTGGAAAAAAAGAGTTCTGCCTGACTCCAGCCCTTAAGTGGCTAGTTACAGTCACTTATACTTCCACAACACACCAAATTTGCTCACTCATTCAAATGCTTAATCATTAACCTGTCGGGCAAATACTTATTGAGCATCTTCTCTGTACTAGGAACCTGGAAAACAGATAACAAGGGGGCGGAAGGATTGGAGGCGCCGCGCACACAAGGCAAGTAGCCAGGATGAGGGCATCTGGTGGGAACCAGTGGGCAGGAGAGGTTCCCCAGGCACTGAGGCCCAAGCTGAATCTTCAATCTGGGAGGGCGCCCTGTGCAGAGCATACCAAGCAAATAAAAAGTATGAAGGAGCACGGCACACTTGGACATTGGAAGTAATTAGAACTGGTTAGAATATGGGTGGTGGGAGAGGAGGTGGAGAGAAATGAAGTCCTTCAACAGCCTCTGAGCCCCACTAAGGAGGTTGGACCTTGTTCTGAAGTCCACAGGAGCTAACAAAAGACTTCACACAATGAAGTGACATGACTGAGTCTGTGTGGTAGGAAACTTACTCTGGCTGTGATGACGGAGAGAGACCTCTGGAGGGGATCAAGTAGAGGAGGGAGGAGGATACGGGAAATAAATGTTAGTGCCCACTGGGTTAATTTTCTCCTTGGATCATTAAATCCATATTGGAATAAGGAGAGGTGAAGTCAATCTTATAAAAATACCAGCCTTTAGGAATCCAGATAGGAAAAGAAGAAGTAAAACTCTCTCTGTTTGCAGATGATATGATCCTCTACATAGAAAACCCTAAAGACACTACCAGAAAATTACTAGAGCTAATCAACGAATACAGTAAAGTTGCAGGATATAAAATTAACACACAGAAATCTCTTGCATTCCTATACACTAACAATGAGAAAACAGAAAGAGAAATTAAGGAAACAATATCATTCACCATTGCAACAAACAGAATAAAATACTTAGGAGTATATCTACCTAAAGAAACAAAAGACCTATACACAGAAAACTATAAAACACTGATGAAAGAAATCAAAGAGGACACAAACAGATGGAGAAATATACCGTGTTCATGGATTGGAAGAATCAATATTGTCAAAATGGCTATACTACCCAAAGCAATCTATAGATTCAATGCAATCCCTATCAAACTACCAACGGTATTTTTCACAGAACTAGAACAAATAATTTCACAATTTGTTTGGAAATACAAAAAACCTCAAATAGCCAAAGTAATCCTGAGAAAGAAGAATGGAACTGGAGGAATCAACTTTTCTGACTTCAGACTATACTACAAAGCCACAGTCATCAAGACAGTATGGTACTGGCACAAAGACAGAAATATAGATCAAGGGAACAGAATAGAAAGTCCAGAGATAAATCCACAAACCTATGGACACCTTATCTTCGACAAAGGAGGCAAGGATATACAATGGAAAAAAGACAACCTCTTTAACAAGTGGTGCTGGGAAAACTGGTCAACCACCTGTAAAAGAATGAAACTAGAACACTTTCTAACACCATACACAAAAATAAACTCAAAATGGATTAAAGATCTAAATGTAAGACCAGAAACTATAAAACTCCTAGAGGAGAACATAGGCAAAACACTCTCTGACATAAATCACAGCAGGATCCTCTATGACCCACATCCCAGAATTTTAGAAACAAAAGCAAAAATAAACAAATGGGACCTAATGAAACTTAAAAGCTTTTGCACAACAAAGGAAACTATAAGCAAGGTGAAAAGACAGCCCTCAGATTGGGAGAAAATAATAGCAAACGAAGCAACAGACAAAGGATTAATCTCAAAAATATACAAGCAACTCCTCCAGCTCAACTCCAGAAAAGTAAATGACCCAATCAAAAAATGGGCCAAAGAACTAAACAGACATTTCTCCAAGGAAGACATACAGATGGCACAAAGACACATGAAAAGATGCTCAACATCACTCATTATCAGAGAAATGCAAATCAAAACCACAATGAGGTACCATTACACGCCAGTCAGGATGGCTGCTATCCAAAAGTCTACAAGCAATAAATGCTGGAGAGGGTGTGGAGAAAAGGGAACCCTCTTACACTGTTGGTGGGAATGCAAATTAGTACAGCCACTATGGAAAACAGTGTGGAGATTTCTTAAAAAGCTGGAAATAGAAGTGCCATATGACCCAGCAATCCCACTTCTGGGCATACACACCGAGGAAACCAGATCTGAAAGAGACACGTGCACCCCAATGTTCATCGCAGCACTGTTTATAATAGCTAGGACATGGAAGCAACCTAGATGCCCATCAGCAGACAAATGGATGAGGAAGCTGTGGTACATATACACCATGGAATATTACTCAGCCATTAAAAAGAATTCATTTGAATCAGTTCTAATGAGATGGATGAAACTGGAGCCCATTATACAGAGCGAAGTAAGCCAGAAAGATAAAGACCATTACAGTATACTAACACATATATATGGAATTTAGAAAGATGGTAATGATAACCCTATATGCAAAACAGAAAAAGAGACTCAGATGTATAGAACAGACTTGTGGACTCTGTGGGAGAAGGCGAGGGTGGGATGTTTCAAGAGAACAGCATCGAAACATGTATATTATCTAGGGTGAAACAGATCACCAGCCCAGGTTGGATGCATGAGACAAGTGCTTGGGCCTGGTGCACTGGGAAGACCCAGAGGGATCGGGTGGAGAGGGAGGTGGTAGGGGGGACTGGGATGGGGAATACATGTAAATCCATGGCTAATTCATTTCAATGTATGACAAAAACCACTGCACTGTTGTAAGATGATTAGCCTCCAACTAATGAAAATAAATGGAAAAAAAAAAAAAGAAAAAAAAATACCAGCCTTTAGTATAGTAACATTATGGCATAACCAACATTCAAAGAGATGGTTAATTAAGAAACACTTTAAAGGGGAGAATATTTAATGTAGCACTCCAGAGAGTCAATTACTAACAACTCAACCTTGAGTTGTAGACTCATTCTGAATCACTTCATAGAGATTATTCTGGCTGTCACCTGGGATTTAGTCTTGAAAGCTGCAAAGGATCTGTGGCTCATAGATTTCTCACTTAACTTACTCTTCTTATTCTCCTATTTTTCTCACTACAACCATTTCTGGGCATGCCAAAGTACCAAAACCAGAATTCATTTTGCCAGGATTCTTAGCAGAGTACGAAGTTGCTTTTGTTTCCTAGAGAACAAGAGTTGCCAGGTTCTTTTTCCCTGGTGCTGGTCTCTCTATGGCTCTAAAATGCTGCAACTTCACAACCAGTAGGTGATGATTCTGGCCGGCTGTGGACAAATAAGTTCCTCAAAATTTCTCAGCAACCACCCTACCACAGCTTTCCCTTGAAATACTGTTGGGAGTAGAAGGTGTCTGCAGGCATTAATGACCTACTAATAGGGCTAATAACTTCAGGTTCCCTCTAAACCACTCCCTACTCTTAGCACCAAGAATTCTTTAAATTATATCCAGGAAACAGCATCTGGAACAGTCATTATGCACAGTTGTTCAGCACTTTCTCAGAGTATGAAACATACTTTGTTAAACAGAGTATGTTTAAACATACTGTGTTAAAAAATCTGGAAATTAAAAAAACAACAAAAAAATCTGGAAATTCAAAATTCAGGCTTGGGTTCGTGGCCATCAGGTCTGTCTGTTCCTCTGCTCCAGAGTGCTCTCTTCTCTCACCAAGAAGAGTACTTTGGGAGTCCTAATACTAGTACAGGCTATGGTGGTGAGGTTGTGTGAAAAACCCTAATACAAAAGGTCAGTGAGAAGGAAAGCAATGCAAAAAA